CAGTTCCCCCCAGTCCATTCCCAGTTCCCCATAACTCCATCCCAGTCCAACCCAGTCCATCCCAGTTCCCCCCAGTCTCTCCCAGTTCCCCATAACTCCATTCCCAGTCCCTCCAAGTGCCCCCCAATCCCATCCCAGTCCCTCCCAGTCCCTCCCAGTCCCCCCCCAATCCCCTCCCAATCCCATCCCAGTCCATCCCAGTTCCCCCCATCCATTCCCAGTTCCCCATAACTCCATTCCCAGTCCCTCCCAGTTCCTCCCAGTTCCCCCAGTCTCACCCAGCAGCAGCAGCAGCAGCACCGGGGCCCGGCGGGGCCCGGGCGTCGCCATCGGGGCCAGGTGGGGACAGGTGGGGACAGGAGGGGACAGGAGGGACCCGGGGCCACCTTAAATAGCCCAGGTGAGGGTGGGGGAGGGGCCCAGGTGAGGGTGGGGAGGCCCCGCCCACCCCCCAAATCCTCTGAGTCACCGGGATTGACCCGCTTGGGGTGGGGGGACACACCTGGGACACACCTGGGGACAGCGGGGACACACCTGGGGGATGGGGACACAGCTGGGGGGATGGGGACGCCTGGGGACACACCTGGGGTACACCTGGGGGGATGGGCACACACCTGAGGACACAGCTGGGGGAATGGGGACACACCTGGGGACACACCTGGGGACAGCGGGGACACACCTGGGGTACACCTGGGGACACCTGTGTCACACCTGAGCTCACCTGTGTCACACTTGGGTCACACCTCAGCTCACCTGTGTCACACCTGGGTCACACCTGAGCTCACCCGGGCACACCTGGGTCACACCTGAGCTCACCTGTGTCACCTGCAGGGCAAGCACTGCATCCTGGACGTGTCTGGGGGGGACATGGGGGTACCTGTGACACACCTGGGTCACACCTGTGACACACCTGGGCACACCTGTGACACACCTGGGCACACCTGAGCTCACCTGTGCCACCTGCAGGGCAAGCACTGCATCCTGGACGTGTCTGGGGGGGACATGGGGGTACCTGTGACACACCTGGGTCACACCTGTGACACACCTGGGCACACCTGGGTCACACCTGGGCTCACCTGTGTCACACCTGGGCACACCTGAGCTCACCTGGGCACACCTGAGCTCACCTGTGCCACCTGCAGGGCAAGCACTGCATCCTGGACGTGTCGGCCAACGCGGTGCGGCGGCTCCAGGCGGCGCAGCTGCACCCGATCGCCATCTTCATCCGGCCCAAATCGCTGCAGAACGTGCTGTGAGTCACCTGGGGCACCTGGGCACACACCTGGGCACACCTGGGCACACCTGGGAGCACCTGGGCAGGGATTTTGGGGGGATTTGGGGCAGTTTTGGGGCGCACCTGTGCCCGATCGCCATCTTCATCCGGCCCAGAATGTGCTGTGTCAGTTCATCCCAGTCCATCCCAGTCCCTCCCAGTTCATCCCAGTATATCCCAGTCACCACAGCCCCTCCCAGATTCCATATCCATCATTCCCAGTCCCTCCCAGTCCATCCCAGTTCATTCCCAGTCCGTCCCAGTTCATTCTCAGTTCATCCCAGTCCATCCCAGTCCCTCCCAGTTCATCCCAGTATATCCCAGTCACCACAGCCCCTCCCAGATTCCATATCCATCATTCCCAGTCCCTCCCAGTCCATCCCAGTTCATTCCCAGTCCGTCCCAGTTCATTCTCAGTTCATCCCAGTCCATCCCAGTCCCTCCCAGTTCATCCCAGTATATCCCAGTCACCACAGCCCCTCCCAGATTCCATATCCATCATTCCCAGTCCCTCCCAGTCCATCCCAGTTCATTCCCAGTCCGTCCCAGTTCATTCTCAGTTCATCCCAGTCCATCCCAGTCCCTCCCAGTTCATCCCAGTATATCCCAGTCACCACAGCCCCTCCCAGATTCCATATCCATCATTCCCAGTCCCTCCCAGTCCATCCCAGTTCATTCCCAGTCCGTCCCAGTTCATTCTCAGTTCATCCCAGTCCATCCCAGTCCCTCCCAGTTCATCCCAGTATATCCCAGTCACCACAGCCCCTCCCAGATTCCATATCCATCATTCCCAGTCCCTCCCAGTCCATCCCAGTTCATTCCCAGTCCGTCCCAGTTCATTCTCAGTTCATCCCAGTCCATCCCAGTCCCTCCCAGTTCATCCCAGTATATCCCAGTCACCACAGCCCCTCCCAGATTCCATATCCATCATTCCCAGTCCCTCCCAGTCCATCCCAGTTCATTCCCAGTCCGTCCCAGTTCATTCTCAGTTCATCCCAGTCCATCCCAGTCCCTCCCAGTTCATCCCAGTATATCCCAGTCACCACAGCCCCTCCCAGATTCCATATCCATCATTCCCAGTCCCTCCCAGTCCATCCCAGTTCATTCCCAGTCCGTCCCAGTTCATTCTCAGTTCATCCCAGTCCATCCCAGTCCCTCCCAGTTCATCCCAGTATATCCCAGTCACCACAGCCCCTCCCAGATTCCATATCCATCATTCCCAGTCCCTCCCAGTCCATCCCAGTTCATTCCCAGTCCGTCCCAGTTCATTCTCAGTTCATCCCAGTCCATCCCAGTCCCTCCCAGTTCATCCCAGTATATCCCAGTCACCACAGCCCCTCCCAGATTCCATATCCATCATTCCCAGTCCCTCCCAGTCCATCCCAGTTCATTCCCAGTCCGTCCCAGTTCATTCTCAGTTCATCCCAGTCCATCCCAGTCCCTCCCAGTTCATCCCAGTATATCCCAGTCACCACAGCCCCTCCCAGATTCCATATCCATCATTCCCAGTCCCTCCCAGTCCATCCCAGATCATCCCAGTCCCTCCCAAATTCCCTATCGCTCCATCTCCGTCATTCCCAGTCCCTCCCAGTTCCTCCCAGTCTCTCTCATTTCCTGTCCCAGTTTCCCTCCCTGACCTTATCCCCAGTCCCCATTCCCAGTGCCTCCCAGTCCATCCCAGTCTCAATCCCAGTTCAGCCCAGTCCCCCGCTCTCCATTCCCAGTCCATCCCAGTCCATCCCAGTCCCCCCAATCCCCTCCCAGTCCATCCCAGTGCCCCCCAATCCCCTCCCAGTTCCCCCCAGTCCATTCCCAGTTCCCCATAACTCCATCCCAGTCCAACCCAGTCCATCCCAGTTCCCCCCAGTCTCTCCCAGTTCCCCATAACTCCATTCCCAGTCCCTCCAAGTGCCCCCCAATCCCATCCCAGTCCCTCCCAGTCCCTCCCAGTCCCCCCCCAATCCCCTCCCAATCCCATCCCAGTCCATCCCAGTTCCCCCCATCCATTCCCAGTTCCCCATAACTCCATTCCCAGTCCCTCCCAGTTCCTCCCAGTTCCCCCAGTCTCACCCAGCAGCAGCAGCAGCAGCACCGGGGCCCGGCGGGGCCCAGGCGGAGCCATCGGGGCCAGGTGGGGACAGGTGGGGACAGGAGGGGACAGGAGGGACCCGGGGCCACCTTAAATAGCCCAGGTGAGGGTGGGGGAGGGGCCCAGGTGAGGGTGGGGAGGCCCCGCCCACCCCCCAAATCCTCTGAGTCACCGGGATTGACCCGCTTGGGGTGGGGGGACACACCTGGGACACACCTGGGGACAGCGGGGACACACCTGGGGGATGGGGACACAGCTGGGGGGATGGGGACGCCTGGGGACACACCTGGGGTACACCTGGGGGGATGGGCACACACCTGAGGACACAGCTGGGGGAATGGGGACACACCTGGGGACACACCTGGGGACAGCGGGGACACACCTGGGGGATGGGGACACAGCTGGGGGGATGGGGACGCCTGGGGACACACCTGGGGTACACCTGGGGGGATGGGCACACACCTGAGGACACAGCTGGGGGAATGGGGACACACCTGGGGACACACCTGGGGACAGCGGGGACACACCTGGGGTACACCTGGGGTACACCTGGGGGGATGGGGACACACCTGGGGTACACCTGAGATACCTGGGACACACCTGAGACACCTGGGGGGATGGGCACACACCTGAAACACCTGAGGCATACCTGGGAGCATCTGGGATACACCTGGGACACCTTGGATATACCTGGGGACACCTAGGGGGGAATTTGATACCTGGAGCACACCTGAGATACGCCTGGGGACACTTGGGATACACCTGAGACACCTGGGACACACCTGAGGGACAATGAACACCTGGAGCACACCTCGGGGTGGATTGAGATATTTGGAGCACACCTGGGGCACACCTGGGGCACCTGGAGCACACCTGGGGCATCACCTGGTTCCCCACACCTGAGGGGGGTCAGGGCTCACCTGTCCAGGATCAGGGTTTGGGGCTCACCTGCCCAGGTGTGACCTCACCTGTCCAGGATCAGGGCGAGAATTTGACCTCACCTGGCCAGGTGTGACCTCACCTGTCAGGGAGCAGGGTCAGATTTTGGGCTCACCTGCCCAGGTGTGGGATCAGATTTTGGGTTCACCTGCCCAGGGTCAGGGTTCACCTGCCCAGGTGTGACCTCACCTGTCTGGGATCAGAGTCAGATTTTGGGATCACCTGCCCAGGTGTGGGGTCAGGGCTCACCTGTCTGGGATCAGGATCAGGGTCAGGATTTGGGCTCACCTGCCCAGGTGTGGGGCCAGAATTTGACCTCACCTGCCCAGGTGTGACCTCACCTGTCTGGGATCAGGGTCAGATTTGGGGCTCACCTGCCCAGGTGTGAGGTCAGGATTTGGGCTCACCTGTTGGTGAGCCAGGGTCAGATTTTGGGCTCACCTGGCCAGGTGTGAGGTGAGGATTTGGCCTCACCTGCTCAGATGTGAGCTCACCTGTCCAGGATCAGGGTCAGATTTTGGGATCACCTGCCCAGGTGTGAGCTCAGATTTTGGGCTCACCTAGCCAGGTGTGAGCTCACCTGTCTGGGATCAGGACCAGGATTTGGGCTCACCTGTCCAGGTGTGGGGTCAGGGCTCACCTGCCCAGGTGTGAATTCAGATTTTGGGCTCACCTGGCCAGGTGTGAGGTCGCGGGGCCGGGTCAGCTGCCTGCGGAGCCGCTTTGTCCCCGAGCCGGGGGGGGACGAGGGGCGTGGGGGGGTCACTGTGGGGTCACCTGGGGGTCAAGGGTCAGCCAAGGACATAGGAACGGTCAAAGGGGGTGGGGTGGTCAGTGTGGGGTCACCTGAGGGTCAAGGGTCAGCCAAGGACATAGGAATGGTCAAGGGTCTTGGGGTGACCACTGGTGTGGGGTCAGTTGAGGGTCAGGGGTCAGTGAAGGGTTTGGGGACAGTTGGGGGACGAGGAACGGTCGAAGGTCACAGGGTGGTCACCCACGTGGGGTCACCTGAGGGTCAAGGGTCAGCCAAGGACATAGGAATGGTCAAGGGTCATGGAGTGACCACTGGCCTGGGGACAGCGGATGGACAGGGGACGGTCAAAGGTCATGGAGTGACCACTGGCCTGGGGACAGCGGATGGACAGGGGACGGTCAAGGGGATGGTCAAGAACTGGACAGTGCTGGAGAGCCGGGGGGGTCAGGGGTCAGTGGGGACACCGGGGACAGTGTCCGGCCATGAGCCCAAGGCCTCGATGACCCCTTTGGTGACCACGCTGACCGCTCCCCCTGTGACATCACCGGTGTCACCAGCGGGAGGCGCTGTCCCCGTGTCCGGGGTCACTGTCCCTGTGTCCAGCTCTGTCCCCAAGCCTGGGGTCACTGACCCTCTGTCCAGTGGCTCTGTCCCTGTCTCCAGCGGTGTCCCTGTGTCCGGTGACACTGCCCAGGTGTCCAGTGGCTCTGTCCCCAAGTCCGGGGTCACTGTCCCCACGTCCAGCTCTGTCCCCAAGTCCGGGGTCACTGTCCCCACATCCAGTGCCACTGTCCAGGTGTCCAGCTCTGTCCCCGTGTCCAGTGCCACTGTCCCCGTGTCCAGTGCCACTCTCCCGGTGTCCACCTCCGTCCCCTCGGCGCCCCGGCCGCTGTCACCGCGCCGTGACCCGCCGTGTCCCCCTGCGTGTCCCCACCCCGCCCTGACGCGCCGCAGCGGCAACACCATCACCGTGCGGCCGCGCCGCGCCGCCGGCCCCACTGCTGGCCCCGCTGGTGGCCCCGCTGGTGGCCCTGGTGGTGGCCCTGGTGGTGGCCCTGGTGGCCCTGCTGGTGGCCCTGGTGGCCCCGGGGGCGCGGCCGAGCCCCCCAAGAAGCGCTACCCCACGGCCGAGCAGATCCAGGTGATCGGGGGGTACCTGGCGCTGCCGCGCTCCTGCCTGGCCAAGGGCGAGCCCCGGCGCAAGAAGGTAACGGGGGCACCTCAGTGGCACCTGTGTCCCCAAATGTCCCCAAATGTCCTCGATGTCCCCAATGTCTTCGATGTTTCCCCTTGTTGCCGAATGTCACCAATGCCCCTAATGTCCTCAGTGCCCCCAAAATGTCCCTAAATGTCCCCAAATCTCCCAAGTGTCCCCAAATCCCCCAAAGTCCCCAAATCCCCCGCCCCAAACCCAAAGCTGCAGATGTGGTTCAGCAATCCCCAAATCCCAAATGTCCCCAAATCTCCCAAGTGTCCCCAAATTCCCCAAATCCCCCAAAGTCCCCAAATTCCCCAAATCCCCCAAAGTCCCCAAAATCCCCTGAAATGTCCCCAAAGTTGCAGATCTGGTTCAGTAATCCCCAAATCCCTCAAAGTCCCCAAATCCCCCCATGTCCCCAAGTCCCCAAAATCCCCAATGTCCCCAAATCCCCCGATGTCCCCAAAATCCCCCAAAGGCCCCAAAATCCCCTGAAATGTCCCCAAAGCTGCAGATGTGGTTCAGCAATCCCCAAATCCCAAATGTCCCCAAATCTCCCAAGTGTCCCCAAATTCCCCAAATCCCCCAAAGTCCCCAAATTCCCCAAATCCCCCAAAGTCCCCAAAATCCCCTGAAATGTCCCCAAAGTTGCAGATCTGGTTCAG